CCCAGTTTTTTAAAAATCTGTTGCCTTATGGTTTCAAACGCTGTCACCAATATGATTCATATTAGATTCTTGATGAATGTGAGTTGTTGTTATTCACCCTGGTTCTGTGTGCTCCTTTTTAACTGTGAGCCCCTGAAACATCTCTGCACAGCGCTGGTGCTCACTTTTATACAACGTTTTCCTGAGTGGATAATCAACCCACTCTGCACTGCTCTACAAGCCTCAAATCCCTGCTTTGTCAGGTGCTGGAAGAAGGCCGGGCAGTGCACGTTTGCTGATGGGTGATCAGTCAAATTTAAAATAACAAAAATACAAAAAACACAAAACATGAAAAACAGCAAAAACAAAATGTAAAACATCTCAGTTTTCTGTATAACTCCTTCGCACTCTCTTTCGACCTTCCTCTTCCTGATGCTGCTGTGACGCTGTGCGTGTGATTACCTTAATGACTCTAATATCAGCGGAAAGCACTGAGTCGCTCCTTTCAGAAACCATTGGAATTTTTAAGATTGCACAAACTGTTCAAGATTTACAGTAGTTTAAAGAAACATTGGAAAAACCTTTAGCTGGTGGCAGGTTAGAGGATTGCTCACAATGAGCATGTGCAAGAACGGTCACCACAGCAGGTCATCTGCCTTCATTTCACCCCATCCTCACCTTCTTCTCTGGCACACCAACCGTTTGCACCTCCTTCACTACATCCATGGATCTTTTTTGTGGTCTTCCTCGTTTCCTCCTGTTTGCAGCTCCATCTTCATCTTTGCTCAACATATGCACGGTCCTTCTCGTGTACAAGTCCTGGTGGTTTATTAAAAATTGGGTAAACACTGAAAATCTGTAATGATTTATGTTACTACAGCACCATGTAGCACTGTAGCTATTTTAAAAACTCATTTGTGGACTGTGCTTATTTTTTGCACATGATTACAATAAATTCATCTTGTCAGCTGGAAAATAATCACAATTCACTATTGTGAACAAATAAGTATGTTTATTAAATTAAATAATGAATGCAGTATTAAAGTATGCATTTATTATTCTGTTTTCTGTGCTGTCACCTACACAATATGTTGTATTTCTTCCTAAAGGTCTTCCATGGCAGAGGCAGGGCGTCCCGTGTCAGAGCTGCATCCAATGGGAGGAACTATCCCACTGCAGCCTATTTTTTCCAGCCAGTCCGTGTTTGACACCACAGAGACACCCACACAAGTAACGTCACCCTCTGGACTGCCTCAACGACCATGCTACAACTGCCAGGAGAAACCCCCCAGTGAAATCTGTGAAGAACAATGTCATTCAACTCCTACTGCAGCAGAAACTGCTCAACACCAACAAAGCCCATCTGAACACTTCCCGCTCATCATGGCTTCAAATCACCCACTTCGTCCAGTTGTGACAGAAACACTTTCAGACAATTCTGAGATGGTTGTGAACACAAACACGAATCATCCTGAGACCATCAGGACAGAGCAGAATGTGAAGCTGGCCTCCCTGATTGTTCACAGGAGTCACTCAGACACTTTGGCGAAAGCTGAAGTTGTTTACCACAGCAGAGACGCGAGCGTCCAAGAGGCTGAGACTCGCTCCATGATGGCTTGCAAGCAGCCCATGCAGCTCCATCAGTGCAACACTGTTACCACTATTTGCAGTGGAGACTGTAGCTTACAGCATCCTCAGAGGAGAGGTCTCTGCATCTCATCTGATGACGCAGATATCAAAGCGCAGTGTCAAGGAGAAGGCAGCCCTCTTTCCACTAAATGTGACAAGCCACACTGTTGCAGCTCCTATATCCACCATGCCAATTTTGAGGATACATTTGCTGCCTACTGCCATCCGCAGCCTATTCCAGCCCCCCCGCAGATGCTGCCACGTCTGGCAGGCTCCATTATCCAGCCTCCAGCACCACCTTCTTCAGCAGGAAACCACCTTACACTGCCTCGCCTCTTCTCCTCTGTTAGTGAGACCGGCTTAGATGCCAAACATCTGCTGCGTTGCTGCAATCTGAGCTGCTCCTGGATTAGTTCACTGCCACCTGGTACTGGCCCACAATGCTCCCAAACACACTTAGGTAAAGATGACTGGTGCAGTACGACAACTGGCCAAGAAAGAATCACAACACGTGACATGGGAACTATGACAGCCCAAAAAGTTCTGAGAGATATCGGGGTGCAGACGAATCAGACCACCGGTTCTCATCTGTTCCCTCAGATCTATCTGGCAGAAGCTAACAAGAGTAAGATGTCTCCTAGCCAGACTGACAGCAACAGAGACAAAAAAGCAAGTGGTGCACCTAAGTCTCCAGTCAAGGAAGTGAAGTGGGATGCAGAAGGGATGACATGGGAGGTGTATGGGGCCTCCGTGGACCCTGAGGAGCTGGGTCTCGCCATCCAGAAACACCTTGAGCTGCAGATCAAGGAGACAGCAAACCGTGCGGCCAAGCTCTCACAGCAAAACCCCTCCCAGCAAGTCAGGAATGCTGGCTGTCACAGAAAAAGGAGGATGATGGGCTACCTCCAGTCTCCGGCTTGCTGCAGTTGCAGCTCTGCAGCTGTTGATTAACTGAGCACCTGACAGATGGACAGGACCTGAACACTGTGCTTAGCAGCCACGAGGGCTGCTCATAGCGTCAACCTCAAATGTCTGGATGATATAAGACAAACCTCTATACCAAATCGAATGGAAA